TCAAATCATTTGTTTTAATTGTAGCATCCAAACCCTGGGTGTGTTTTGGAAACATGTTCATCAAGCTCCCAAGTTCCAATGTGCAAGCAATGTTGCAGCAAGGTAAGCAATTACATCAAGAAGTCTTTTCTCCAAAGAAACAAACTTTAAACCTTACATATTTTTTTCCCTTCTATTTTATGAAGATCAGAAGAACTTAGAAGAGGAAATAAGCAGGCTAAGGAAAGACTTGAAGCCAAAAGTTTCAAAGCTCCATGAACTGGAGGGTTTGTAGACTTATTGTTGTTGTATTCAGTAGTAACAGTACTGTTTCTCATTTTGGCAGATGATAAGGTGGCTAGACCAAGATTTAGTTTTATGATGTATGTGACTCATCACTGTTGTCAGCAGTGTGACGTGATAAGGCCCCAGTTCTGCAAAGGCTAGATAATGCTATCTACAGGATAAATCCCTATCTGTGGATAGTGAAGTACAATCTGTTGACACTTATCCAGAGGGTAGCAAGTTATCAGTTGGATTACATTATCCAACCTTCAAACAACTGGGGCCAGGAGTATTGTTAGTCTTTGATGAGTGGATGCCAGTCCATCACATCAGTTTAGGTAAAGAAAGAAAAGGTAAAGTCTTTTTCTAAGTCAAGTGGCCCATCCAGCCTGGGGATCTCTCTGTTTCTGTAGCATGAGGTGATTACAAGTATTGCCACTCCCCAAGAATGGGATGCTTGTCTGTTCCAGGTTGCCCTCAGAATTTCATCAGGTTTCCCTGATAGTGCACCAGTTCATTTGATGGAAGTCAGTAGAGAGGAATTCATTAGAGCATTGACTGTACTGGAAGGCACTTTGAAAGTAATGTCTCATCCAAGAGCACAATACTAAGACCCATGCTAGTGCTCAATCTGGTCTGATTGCTTGATCTGTATTACAGTGTACTGGCCACTAGCAAGGGTCTTCTGGCAATTTTGAAGCTGCTTTAGTCATCTAAGAAGCAGCTTTTCCTATTTGCAGATTTATTGAGAAAAGAAATATGCCACCTTCTGATTTTTAGTAACACTGTAGTATTCCTTCTTATTCAGGATTACCAGAGGTGAAGGGATTTGACTTAACTGCTCTGACAAAAGATGATTTGCAGAGTCTGGAGCCATGATCCCTCAAAGGAGGAGCAGAAATGGCTGCACTACTACCTTACACACAGACTATGCTCTATAAACAAGTCATCCAAGGCTGAAGAATATCACAAGATACAAATCTTCAGTTATTCAAAACAGCAAAGGTATACCTTTGAAGGAGGGGGGCAAGAACTGGGATGCAAGTGACCCCTGTTTATCAAAAAAGGTAGCACTAAGTGTGGAATATCTCCAATGAAAATCCTGCCAACACCATGGAAGAAAATGCAAGATATGATTTTGTGACCATAAGGGCACTGGTGCCAGATTGCTGAGAAAGTCAAGACTATTGGATTACACATGGAACACTACAAACTGAGTCTTGTCTTACTTATGTTAATATTGCCTGACTTTTATTTTTGATATTTCCTTCAGGTGAAAGAGCAGCAATAAATATTCACCATTTTTAAGCAAAGATGGATCCATGTATGGATTATCAGTTTATTGGAGTTGGTTGACAACAGAAATAGATGTTTAACAATACCCATCCACACTGAAAATAAATAACTAACTTATCTAATTTTTCATTTTCATGCAATTTCTTCATTCGATTTAGAAATGTGACATTTACAACACCCCTCCCATTCTGCTTTACAAAATTTGTTTACTATGTACATATACTACAACCTTGGAAGAACTGAAGCCTATGATAAAGAACAATTCTGAAGACTTAAAAAGTGGACTTGATTGTGGATTTTCTTACACCTCGCTTGTATTAAATGTGTTAACCACTGATAGCAGGCTATTCTGGCTGTTATTCATTATCACGTCTTCTTGATGGCCTGGGCATTCTTGAACACTTGCTTCAGTTGTTTGTCACGATCACTGTTGTCACATCCTGAAGTTTATGAGAAATTATTATGACTGTAGTTTACAAAGTTTTGGAGTGCAGAAATTTGGGTCAGATGGCCAAGGGGGAATATACCTGACAATTTTACTGCAGGGGACTTCTGGAAACAATGTAGCTTTGTGATAAGTTCTCATAATACAGCATCTCTCGCAGCACAGAGGCAAGTTTCACTATACCCCTAGTCCTTAGCGACTCGGTGGTCAGATTTTAACTTTGTTATTTTATACTGTTTATTTGCAAAGTGCTTCTAAACAACAGTAGCATGAAATCTCACCTAAGAAAGTATTTGTAGGGTATGGAGGATTTGGAATACAATCTGCTCCACTGGTATCATCCATGTAGACTGGTCCATCATTCCACATCAAGTCAAAACCTCCTACACGTTTCTCTCTCCCTGTCAGTCTCAATGTGAAAAAATACACATCATGTTAGACTTCAATGTGACATCAAGATCAAACAACAGCACCCAAACTAATTCCACTAAGAACACTGCTAAATTAAATGCTTAGCCTAATAAACTGTATTTGATCTTTTTAAAATTTTCTCAGTTCTTATGACAATGACTAAACAATTTAGTCTAACTTGTTGTTCACACCATCTGACAGTGAACCTGTTTGTGTTATTCAAACTTTTAAATGACAGACTACAGTATAACACAAAATTATCATAACATGAGTATTTTTTCAATTTTCCAGTCCATTCAGTAGTTTAAGACAAAAATCATATGCAAAACCAGGACAAGAACTACTCAGAAACCCACGATTACCACTTATTTATCAACTAAACTCTAACGATGTTGACTGTGACAAAAAACATTGCAGATTGTACCTATTTTCCATGTCTACAATGTGCAACATATCCTCCAGCAGACGACACTTGAGTTCATAGTCAGATTGACTGCTTGCAGTCAGTGATGGTGATGCATTCACTTCAATCAACCAGCTACAAAGATTAAATTCTCATTACATCATCTATAGAATTTGGCCTATGTTTAATGGAGGGTGTTAAGGCTGTGAAAGTTTTGAGGTACCTCAAAGATGCTGATGAGAAATTTATGAGGAGCTATGTTGGTTGTCTAGACAACACCTGAAATAATACCCAGCGTCATGACAAAGGTCTGTGGTACACAATTTTAACCCTTTGACCCTAAGAGTGACCAGCATCCAAATTCTCCTAACAATATCACCCCTGAATCACACATTAAGGTTATAAGAATAAAGGAAATGGTCAACTAAAGAAGCTCTTGATTGTTAAACAAATTCTCTTTGTCAGAACCTTAGGATACATATGGAGAACAGTATGGAGAATATGTCTACTGACATTAGGATGAGAAGGGTAAGTGGTTCCTTATAAGCATTATTTAAAATGAACTTACGGTTTTAGTTTAGAATCTACCAGAATATCATAACCATATCTAGTCCATGTTAAGGAAGAAACACCACCGAAAAACATCTATTATAAGAGGAGGAATTGTTATGTAAACAGTGTCATCAACTACATGAAACACTAGGTAAGGCATTCCTTGGATTTCCCACAAGTCAGTTGGCTATCTAGAAACTTCCATTAACCCTCGATGCACATTATAAATACTGTAATCTGTCATACTCAAAGGATACAACTCAAAACAGTGTTTATCATTGATCATAATTTTTTGAACAGCTTGTATACTTTTAATGTAGATGTTATCCATGTCCCTCACCAAGGTCTCAACCTGAGATAAGGCATTATAAATCAAATAAATTAGATATTGTCTCTAGAATTATGGTAACAAACTTTTAATACAATAATTTCTGTATCCCTCAGACATTAAACAATTACGTTACACAAGGTACATGAACATGGACAATAAAACCAGGTATAATTGCTTAGTGCTTCTTAGACCCTTTAACAACATTACATAAACTTTGACATACACACTTAAGTCAGCCAAAATTTATTTCTAGCCCCCTTTTCTAACCTTTTCCAAACCATGCTTGGCCACAAGATACCTCCTAAGCTGTTGTAGAGACCACTTGCAGCCCTGGAAATAGTCACTTGAAAGTTAATTACAAATTAGTGGATTGCTCACTCAAACAAGCAACCTCAATGGAATCAAATACTCAACAACAGAAAAATTCTGTAGATCATGCCCCTCAAAAAGCCAGTTCATATCAGGACCACACTATGTTTTCTTCCCTCTGTTTCCAATATGCAAATCAGTGAATCAATTTCTACTAAAAAAGGTGTAAAAACACTGTTATTGATAACATTCCATTTTTATGTCATTCTGCTCTTGGTATCAGTCTTCCACTAAACCTCCCTTACACTATTGCATGATTGCATCTTCTATCACACCTACCTTTTCAGCATCATAATCTGGAGCAGTTTTCTGAATAGCAACATTGGTGAGATGCACATCTGGTGTTTAAAAGTCAAGGATTTTCATCAGCTGAGCTTGTGAAAGGGTAACAAAATGAATGTCTCACACACTAAATTGGGAGGAGAAGGGTAGGCATCAAACTCATTAGTATAAAATTTTACAATCATATTTGAAACACTTTACATTTACAAGATGTTCATAGATCTAGAGATTTGTGCTTTGTTTTCCTTGATAAACACTCTGAAGTCTAAAGCATTTAGTTTCATTTTTGCTTGTCGCTGCTAATTCTGTAAACAATGCAGCAGGGCTATATGAGTCTTCCATGCCCATCTTTCACACCTTGGATTGACAGGAAAAGGATACAAGTGTCATCTATTGAGTCCAAAGAGAATCTTGTATTTGAAAATCTTGCAAATCCTTCTCTGTACAGCCACGCACACATGGGGGCATACTGCCAGGAGAAAAACATTCTTTGTTAACTTCATACTACTTCTCTGGAAATGATAAATCCTAATTAGTAGAAGGTCCCCTCTACAAACTATGGAGTTATGTCACCATCAGGATGATGTGAGAGTACAACTTACATTATTTTTTACATGGAAAAGGGCCATACAAGACACTAATCACTTACTATTATAGAGTTACTGAATGTTACACTTCAGATATTTTAATGTCTCTAAAACATTAAGTTTACTATAGAGGAGCTTGCGGCATGCAAGGTGAATGCAGCACTGTCCCATACCTATAAAAACTAATAGTATGCTGTAACCCATCAATCCAAGAAAAGTTGGTGTGCTACCATAAGACAGAACTACTTTTAGCATGCATGGCCAACTGCATCGTGGGCATGTCTACACCATAGTTTGCTCTTGCTCAGTGCATGCTTCAGCTCATTGTGTGAGCAACACTTGCACATAGCCAAGGAGACTCTGGGTTTGACATGAATTTGGTTGATATCTCTTGCACGTTGGTTTTAAGTTTCATCAAATTATCAGACAGAGCAAGAGACAAAGTAGCTTGGCATGGGTTGCCAGGTTCCTCTGTACTACGTTCATATGGAAATTACAACCTGATCAAGAAATACTCACTGATGTCACTAGAACATACACTCTTAAATCAAACTTTCTACCTGTAACAAAAGACAAAAAACAAATAATTAAAACTAAATCAGTTCCTAACAACAAGGGCTTCCTTACTTAGGAAGTCATTTGCCAGAGAACAGTAAAACAAGAAAAATACAGTTTTGTTAATGGCATCAGTTCAAAGAACTGAGGTACATGACTCATTCAGTTATTATAAACCATTGCAATAATGTGTTAAAATGTAATTACTCACTTACCCCCAATTAAATAAGGATCCTCAACATAACGCTGAACAATATAAGCCTCTGGTGGTTCTTTTTCATCTTTCTGAAGTCAGAGTAAAACAGGAAATTCATAACTATAATTAGCAATGTTATTTCACTAAAATAAATAAAACCCTCATCAAAATTATATTAACCCTTTACCCCCCAGAAGTGATTAACATTTAACTTCTTCCTATAATAACCAAATGCTATCCAGCAAACAGATTATGCAAATGTACAAACTTATCAGGAAGTTTTTATCTTGATGATCTAACACCAAATTCTCATTACTAATTTATGAATATATGTGTAGCAGCTAGATAGGAAAATTACCAATCAGATCTTGGTAGTTGAAGGATCAGAAGAGAAAGAGAAAGAGAGGGAGAAATAAAAATGATGGGAGGTTAACACTGGTTTGAGTCTTAGTATCAAACCCTATAATTGCCATAAAGTCACAAGGAAAGGAGTAAATGGGTCAAACGACTCACCAGTGGCACTATGATGGTCAGCCAGACTACTGCAAAAGGCAAAGAGAACTGAAGCTAAAAAAAAATTAACCACCTTAACTCACCCTTTCATCTGACATGGCTGCTCGATAAGGGTCTTCCTAAAATAAAAGAACAAAGCAATTGATCAGAAATAAAAGAGTCTCAACAAAGTAAAAATTTTGAAATCACTAAATGAAGAAAACCTTTATTACTGACAGCATGTATAGCACATGTTGCATACTCAGAACACATCAATAAGAAAGCCAAAGATTGATGTCCAGGCCAAGTAAAAATGTTTCAAAAATGAAAACAAAATGAGTAAGTCCATCACTTTACTATGTTCAGTTTTAGGACTATACACAATTGGTTCTCTCTTTAAGTTGTAAGTGACTATCTGCTTTTCCATGCATGAGCTAATTTTGAATCATTTTGCAATAAGTCTGTTTGTCACTCAGTGATGCTACAGTGAAGAAAATGGCCATTGTATGTGGCTGTTGTATAGATGTGGCTTTTACAGGAGGTCTATCTCTAACTGTTCTCTGATACTTCTTAATAATTTTGCATAAGTAATAATAGTAAACCTTCCTCCAGTCCATGATATCTTTTAACCTTCTAAACAAGAAGATTCCCTTTCCTTGAGACTTCCCTACCTGGAGTGACACAAATAAATTAATTTTTAACTGATGTGGTTAAAAAACACTGCAAACCTGATCAATCAGCTTTCAAAAAGTGAATATACAACATGACTCACAAACACCTCCTCACTCAATTCTGATGTGACTTATACTAAATTTGACAAATTCTCAGCCTCTCTAATGGACACTGAAGCACTTTTCAGAATTATTGTTATGCAGGAGATCGCACCACATATTAATTGACTTTCACTCCTGAGTCCAACCCCTCACAGTCTCTAGAACCAACAGAAACTATGAAAGAATAAATCAGGATACATTTAATAACACTTAAACTTACAGGCTTCATGATCCATGTTGTACCAGGGTTTCTCTTAAATTCTTCCACAAATATGTGATACTCCATCTAAAATGATAGCCAATCAGAGTAAGTCAGAGCAAAGAAATTCAAAGAGGGTCAAATCAGTTCAGTGGAAGCTCCAATCATGGCTAGAGGTTATTTGTCTGTTTGTTTGGTTGGTTTTTTTTTCCATGTGGCATTTAGTATTCATTTTGATTTTCTGTTTGGTCAGGGTCTATGCTAGTGCATCACAGGTAACACTACAACAATTATATCTCCTATATCCAAGAAAGGTTTAAAATACCAAATTATATAATAAGCTCAGTTATGCACGCATTCTGATTGGTTCTCACTTATGATCCATTGGAGGACAGACATATAGATGGTGTCGTCATTAAAACTTTTTTCCCGTATATTTTAATTCTTTATTATATAAAACAAATAGATTCCAAGTTGCTGTGCGTCTGTTCAGCTGTGCCTTGTGTGCCACTTTTTTGTTCTTACCACATTTTGATGTCATCTGTGATCTATCACTGAACAGATGCATGGCAACTTGGAATCTATTTGTTAAATATACTCTTCAGTGGGAAGAGGCAATGTGAGAGTGGCTCGCCCAAAAACACAACACAGAGTGCTAATTAACCACATTCACCACCAGACCACCACATTCTCACACATAAAATGGAAAGAACTAAGCTTCTAATAAGCTGAGACTATTTACAAGACATTTGATCTGAAAATAATACATTAAAAATTTCTGTCAAAATTAAATCATTCACTGAATAGCCATGAAAAGATCATTGCAATTAGTACTAACTATAAAACATAAAAAGACTTAAAACTTACGGGAAGCTCAAATGTTGTTGGGAAAAAGTCACACCTAGTTGCAGTTAAGAACTAAAAAGTATGGACATATTCTACTAAAATTTTTACACAGTCATACAACATTATCAAAAATTAAGAAAGTAAGAAGTAAAAAACTCCTGCAATTCTTGGTAATCAGTTTGTAGAAATGCAGCTTTTTGTATAATGAAAGGCTACTATAATTCGAATTCCAAAAAGACTACAAATGTTGAAATATCTAGTAAAATCTATATAAGAGAGCAATGATTCTGTGGTTCCCAATGAGATTCCTGCAAAGGCTACCCTTGTAATTTTGTAATTACAGATACAGTAGAGAAACTTATTTTTACAGTTTCATCATTTTAACTATCCAGAGTCAACTATATCCACTCAAATTACTGTCATACCATTGTGCACATCTATTAAACTCAGTCTCTCTCTAGATGCTAAAAGCACAGTTCATATTTCTGTTGTACAAAGCACTAATTGACACAACTTTTCAAGAAAAAAAAATTTCACATCAAAAAGGATACTTGGCAGCTTCCAGTTTCCCATATTCTCTCTCAAGCTGTTTCTTCAGTCTTTTAAGATTCTTTGCCATGAGATTCTTCCGTGTCAACTGTCATTGATGAGAAGTAATTAAATATCATGTATATCTGCCATTGTCTTGATGAAAATTGGTCATTGCTGGGGTGTCATAAAATTTTGACATCACTTTTATTGTGTGAATTAGAGTGAATTACCCATGAAAAGCCTTCTAGTTGCTTGCGGGAAAAATTACTTTCCACAGGAAAAATATCAATAGTAATATGTTTAGATATTAAGTCTCAATGTCTCTTTAACTCTCATAAGTGGCCATTAGCCAGAATTTCTCCACACAATATCAAAATAATTTTAAGTAGACAAGAGATGAGAATAATGAAGAATACCAATTGGGGGTCATTATAAGTTGATCCAATACCTAATTCTCCAAGCTAATGTCACAAGAATTGTACAGCAGACAGTAAGGAAAATTACTAATGAGATCATAGGAATTAAGGGCAGTCAAAAGAACTCAGAACTACTAACACTCCACAAGTTTTCACAGAGAAATCTTAAATTACTCAACTAGCAGTAATTCCTAATAATGCAGTAGTTATAATTGTAACTAAGTTCACCTCATAATGATTCCTAAAATGGCAGATCTTGACATGTTCATCCATATAAGTATGGTCAAAGTATTCTCTCATCCAGCCAACATCACACCAGTAAAAATCCCATTCACCTTCCCTGTTCATGAAAAGAATATTAAGTTCAAACATGTCTACAGATAATGAGCTTAGAAAAGAGGGAGAAGAGGAGGAGGTGACAGTGAGGTGGAGAAAAGAACTGTGACAGAGTACAAAGGATAACTTCAAGAACTGATGCCTGCAAAGAATTCTTTGAATCTTTTTTGTCTAACATTATCTCTGACACTGAGCTGCACAAAACTGCGGGTACAAAACCCATCACTCAGCAATTCTGGTGATGCAGATGGATTGACCATGTTCTCCAAATGCCCCAATCAGCCCAGCCCAGAGTTGCCCTTCCATAGACACCCAACAGCAATGATAGAGTGGTCCTCCTCAGGAAACTTGGAGGAAAACTGTAGAAAGGGAAATGGGGGACAGAGGCTAGACATGAGGGCAGCTTGACCACCCAGTAACCCACAGAAAGTAATGGTGTTCTTTTGCCAAGGCATAAAGTGCATAGATGTATGACGAGGACTTGAAGTTAAGTAACTAACAAACTACAAAGGGTAATGGTAACTATGGGATTCCTGGGACTTTCTAACAAAGAATTTTAACTACACTTCTTTGACGTGGCTGGGGTATTGCATGCAAATTGCAAAGTCGTATATTTTCCAGTACCTCTGCAAAGGCACTCGTTACCATGAAGACCAGGAAATTTTGCACCAAGCATAAGAGCTAAATATCTACCCGAAATGATGTACCGTCAAACTACAGGTACCGGTAAATGCAATGTATATTTAACATAAATATGAAGAATAACTTACTCTCGCACTTCGGTCCAACCCTTTGAGCGAAGTACATCTAAAATGGTGTTCTGAAGTGAGCACTTGAATCGGATAACACGGCTATTGTCACTTTTAAATAAAGAAAAACGCATACACTACTTTAATCTGAAGCAAAGCAGACACAACCTTAATTATTTTGCAAATTGCATTTTGTTTACACTAAATTTTGCGTGACGGAAACACTAACATAGCAACGAGATAAATTGCTGTTTCCCACTTACAATGGCTTCCTTTGAACAGGTTTCCAGTTTAGCGTCGTATGCTGTGATGTAAAAATATATCTCAAGTTAACTAAGTAGTAAAAAGGTACAAACTGCGAAGAAAGACATTTGACGTTTATGGAGAATTACCTTATCTCGTTTTGCCGCCATATTAAAAATCATCACAATCCCACAATGCAAGATGACACATAGTCCTTCCCAGCTCCCACATAAGGTTCTTCCTTCTTGTGAGATATTAATGCAAAGCATCGAAGTGTTGCTGACTTGGAAAGGAAAATGAGCTGTTGACAAAGACGACATACAGATATCGATTGTTTCGGATCATGCATCGAACCTACAGTGGTCCTGGAGGGGCCATCAGAGAAATAAAACTCTGCCTTCTTGGGGTAAGTCGCGGGACATATTGAAAGAAAATTCGAGCTTTCGAATCAATGTAATTGTACAGTTGTCACACTCATTACGTAAAGGTTAATTTTGTCTGTTGGTTGGTGAATTTAATGTGTTTTTCTGCAGGATGCTGGTGTGGGAAAGTCGTGTTTGGTTCATCGTTTCGTATCGGACGCTTTCAATGCTGCCTCAATGCCTACCATTGGGTTGGTATAGTGTTGAGTGTTGGAAGCTCTTTCATATTTTATATAACATTTTTAATCATTTCGTCCTAAGTAAAGTAGGGAACGTAGTATTAAAATGTAATCGGTAGAGTAATTAATAAACAAACATAAGTAAGATGTTAAAAGATATTTCTGTGATTTAGCTTCTCCAACCCTGAACTCTGCATCAACCACGAATTCCTATCGAATCGTTAATAACTTGTGGTGTCCTATAAATACTATCTTGATTAATATTTGCTGAACCGGTTTACAGTTAATTGTTAGTATCTTTGATATGTAATCATTTGTTGGTCGAAAACGCTCAGCTGACCATCATAAACAGATAAATGTGTATATTCATTTGATAAAAATACATATCAAAAGTTAGAAGATAAAATTAAGCAAAATATTTTAAGATTAAAAGGGAACAAGTTTAGTCATCTCTTACAAAGGTGCTTGTACTATACATGTGATGAGTACAACTGCAGCTTTCCAACAAAGTCATGCAAACAGCGTAACACCTCATACCCTATCATCAGTACAGATTTCCCTAACTGTTCTCTTTACATTTCTCAAAGTACTGACAAGGAGAATTTGTGTAACAATCAAGAGCTTCTTTTTCAATGATCATTTCCTTTATTCTCATGACCTTAATGTATGATTCAGTGGTGATATTGTAAGGAGAAATGAGATGCTAGTCCCTTCTTGGGGTCAAAGGGATATGCCTAAACATAATTTTTCAAAAACCAGTGGGGGGGGGGAGGTGTAGAATGGCAGATAGGTGGCAATAGGCTTTTAATCTGTATTCCTGTGTGCAAGTCCTGCTCTCTGCCACTGGTCAATTTTTTTTTCATTAGTTTTCTTTTTTTTTAATTTCGTTTTCTTTCACCCTGTAAAACCTGATGATGGAGCTGGAAAATAAGTCTCTACTATTATTATTCTGATTAATAATAACAATAATGATTATAATTATTACTATTATCATTATTATTATCTGGTTTTTTTAAAAATTGTTTTTAACAAAGAAATTGATGCATGATGACTGTTTTGATTTCTCAGTGACCTACTTTTTTTAAATGCATTGTGAAAATTACTGTGGAGATATTTCTGCCTGAAAATTTTCTTAAAGGCTGTCGTCCCATTTCACACAAGTTTCTACAAAATATTTTGCTGGACGTACACTTGTTAATCTTTTCAAAAATGGATTTACCATGTACCAAATGAGTTATCATCAAGAGAGTAAGAGTAAATTAGTCTTTCAGAGGCTCAACTTAAATTTGCCAAAAAAATTTTTGGGAAGTATCCCCAAACCTTACAAAGGGGTGCCAATTTTTGGAGTTTGAATTGTAAACCATTGCATTAAGCATTTGGTGATCTGCTCTTAAAGTCTCTAAGAAACCTGGTAACAGAAGTGTAGGCATAATTAATCCCTGTGAGGTTTCTATTTTGCAGGCAGTACTAGTCTTGTAAATGAAAGACCTTTATGAATGATAACAGTTATTCATTTAAGTATATGTTATCAATCCTTCCCTCCTCATTTGCTTAAATCCGTGCTTTCTTTGTATTTCACAGGGCAGCCTTTATGACCAAAATGTTGCTTGTGGGAGAACAAGCATTTAAATTCAATATTTGGGACACGGCTGGACAGGAAAGGGTAGGAGAGAAAAACCATACAGTACTGTTTGCCTATTTGGTTATTAAATGTATTTTGGATTGTGTGACTGTTTAATTTTATCCTTGTTGTAAGCTTGATTTTCCTTCTGTTGAGACTCATTTTTTTTCATTCTGTTATTGGTGTAATATCACCATTAAAATGCGACAAAATAGTGATGAAGATGGTGAAATTTGTATCAAGAGTAATAGAGCCATGATCCTGACACTCCTTGCCCAGACATGTCTGTAAACAAATGTGTTTTACTGTGAACTTAGGGATATCATGTGATTATATCAGAAGACTATCTCACACTGAGTCACTGTTAGTAATATTTTCAGTTAGTAAACTCAGAGATGTAAAACCTTTTAGAGGCCATTCATCTGCAACTATAACCAATTTACTCACTAGTAATCATAATTTTAATTCTCAAAACCTTTAATCCTTTAACTCCTATGAGTAACCAAGACAGAACCCCTTCTCACAATCTTATTGCAATATCAAGCAGGCAAGTGATGAGAATAAAAGAAAATATCAATTTGGGGATCATTAGTTGATCAAATACCAAATTCTCTGTACTAAATTTATGAGAATTGTATGGCAGACAGTAAGGAGAATTACTAATGAGATCTTGAGAGTCATAACATTTAAACTATAATGGGGTAAACAACCATTTACTCATTCTTAAATCTTTTATGTTATAATATTATTTTATTTACTGTTGTGTATGTTTGTCTTATTGTTCAGTTCAAAAGTTTGGCTCCACTGTATTACAGAGATGCTGCTGCTGCCATTTTAGTTTATGACATAACAAGTGATGTAAGTATGAACATTTGTTGGTCAGAATGTGCTTGATTGGAAATTCTCTAGTACATAGTAAGGGTTAGATGATGCTTAAAGTATGCTGGAAAGCTGTAATTGTTGCAGAATATATATATGATTCAGGATTATTTACAAGTGGTGATTTAAAATTGACATATGAAACTGAAATAAGTGAGGAAAGAATCAAAGAAAATGAAAGATGCAATATGGAAATGTGTGAGATGAAAAATATTAAATTCAAGATAACCTATGAGCAGGCACCTTAGCATGAGTGTTTCTGCACTGGCAAGAAAGTTCAAGTTCTTGAGCAAAGTCAGCCAGCAAGAGGTCTCTGAGGGTTCTCAACCAGATAACAATCACCAGACACCTCATGGACCTCTGGTAGCCTCACTTTGTTTAAGGCTGCAAATATACTTAGGGGTGAAGAATCTCTTATGCAGAAGTGCTATGTACAGCTGGGGGTCTGATTACTGAATAGATCCAAGATACTTTTCAATCTTAACATAATCTTTAACTTGGAAACTGTGGAGGGTATCAGATAATTACAAGTAGAGAACTGTGATTAAGGTACTTGTTTCATCTGAATCTGACTGAAGTCCATCTGAAAAGAAGAATCAAAGTTATCTTTCTTCTTAAGCATACACCCCAACAAGGGCTCACAAACTTGACTTATCATACTGCACATACTGAGAGATATTATACTATCATACAACCTAACTGATTTTATTATGAACTTTGTTAGACAGAGTTTTAAATATTTGTATGTTGCATTCCAGAGTTCATTTCATGCATTAAAAAGCTGGATCAAGGAGCTAAAAAGATATGGCCCCCCTGATATTCTTATAGCCATTGCAGGAAATAAGTGTGATAAGGCTGATCAAAGAGAGGTCAGATATTAATTACTGTAAAGTCAAGAGGTACTTTGATTTGCAATGCTTTTTTTATCCTGGCTTATGCTACTAATCAGCTCCTCTAATTTGTGTGCAAACCTCCTGGGTTGTGTTGTCTCATCTTTTTGCTTAGCTATAGCTGACAGAAATGTTTGGCTCATTAAATCTGAGAAATGGCTGGAATTACTCTGGTATGGCCAAGAAACTCTAGGTTGAGGCCTTTCAGGTCAGGAAGTTTACATCAAAAATGTAGTTATAATGTGGCTGCAGCCTCTGCCTTTGGGACTGCTTACCCTTTCACTCACAATTTGGTAATTTTTTTCACTGTCTGCCATACATTGTCCATTCTTAAGATGTTAATTTTCATCTTCCATTAAGGTGCTTGAGGAAGAAGCAGAAGAATTTGCTAACAGTGAAGAGGCAATATTTGTGGAAACAAGTGCTCGAACAAACAAGAATGTACATTGGCTCTTTGAAGAGCTATGTAGGTTGATTGAGTTCTCTTGCTTTTCTCTTAATTCCTGGGTATGGAGCTGTTATTTGACATTTCTGGGTGTAAATCTCGAGGAAGTGTGCACTGATTAACATTTTATGGAACAGGAAGGCCTTGTCCTTGAAGTTATACACTGATATCAGTTAAGGAGCCTATCAAGTCTTAGTCAATGAGCACCTCTTTGTTCACTGAAGAATTTCCACTTGAAGAGTTGCTCGTTAGGCATTATGTACTTTTTTAAGAGGGTATTTTCTCACCTCACCTCAGTATTTTTCCATTCCATTTAATTGAGAAAACTCCTGTAGCTTGAATATAATTTTCTCTTGTTCAGCTCGCAATCTACCTCAAGAACAAGTTGACCCTCCATCTGGAAGAAGCACTCTTGTACGACCTAAGGAAGCTGAAGAAGTATCAAATAAAGCTTGTTGCTCTCAAAAATGACAGTCAAGTAAACAGACAATAATATAAAACTTGGCTGGAATTCCTGCACACAAGATGCTGATCTCCAATCAAGTTTTTAGAGAGGGCTTGGAACTACAAATTTTTCCCTTTGGGAACATACAGCCTACTTTGGCAGGAGCTTGTGAAGAGGTTGAGTTGAGAAGACAGCAGACATCTCTCAGCAAATGAAATTAACTCATAAATAATGATTTCTAGACTAGAAGACAGTTAAAATTTTTTATTGTTGTGAAAAAAATTATATGGATTAAAATCTCAGGGTTGGTTTTCCTAGCTGAAATGTCCCTAGAGCAGCGAGGGATCTCACCACTTTCCTAATATCTCAGACTTGGTCAACAGAAGGATTGCTTATAATTTGGAAAAATCATGAGCATTTCAGTTTACATTCTTAAAAAGGATGAATAGGAAGCAGTGAAATCCTCAGTAATCTTAAGGTTTCAGACCCTTGGAACCCAACTGTGACAGAATGTTTTACACTTGGTAGCAGTTGGTCAACTTATAAATAGGGGCTGTGAGAAGTAATAGGCTGAGGGCATTGTTATTGACACATCAAAAATATTTTCATACACAGCATACTTAATTTTACTTGCCATGCAAGATTATTATACAGATGCAAATATGATAGAAATCCATTCCATCACAGTATCTACCAGATGAATTTTCCTCTTTAAAAACCTCAGCATGAATGCAAACCCTTTCACTCCTAAGATCCCAATATCTCTTTTCCTCACTGTCTGTCATACATTTCTTACAATTTTGGCTCTGAGAATTTGGTATCAAATTGTACATTATCCACAAGTTGATGCATTTCTCTCTTCTCAACAACTTTGTTCAGGAAAATGTATTGATACTGTAAGGAGAAATTACTAATAGGTCACTCCAAGGGGCTTTGCTACTCTATTTTTTGTGTGTGAATCATTGAAAGCCACATCATGTAAAATCAGAGTTTCTGTTTAGAGGATGTTCATCACATCCACCTGTTCATCTTATAAATCAATAAAGGAAAGAGAAGTAGAGTTGCTATCTAATGCTAATGTCGTTCAATGGCTCACCAATATTCTACTTTGTCTAGTGAATAGATTTTGAGCTTTTTAAATAAAATTAAACAAACATACAGGTATCATTCTTGACAATTAAAAAAAAATGTAGTGTTAAATATACAATTTTCTTCAGGGTGTCATTGGTTAAATTTAGATATGTTTCTCCCCTGATAAGTGTGATAAAAGTACAGTCTTTACAAGCTCTCCATTCCCCTCCCCTGTTCCCTTGGATCCCAGGGTGTTGTCACATTCTTGACAATGCAAAGCAAAAGGTCACTGCAAGTGCACCATGAAGAAATCCAGCAAACTCTCTGGTATAATCCATGAAGCCTCAAACTGAGCCCTAGTTTCATTTACACTGAATTAAATGTCAAAATGGAGCTATTTGCTGGCACCATTTGATGTGGAGGGGTTAGTCATTGCAAAGGTTCTTAGCTGAACTAGGAAATACTGTGTAGACTCCAGAACCAAATGTTTGAGTTCAAAATATTTCAGTAGGCCTTAATTCACCAAGAGGATTGAAAGAGCAAGCTCAACTGAGGATAGTGGTATCCTGTTCCCCCTTTAGTATGTGCTCCTTCCCTTACTGTCAAGAACATCAGTATCATGTTATAAAATTGGCCACCTGTCGGCAAAGTAGTAATTTGGACACTATGACCTGCATCACACTCTGACCCACTAAAGCTTAAAAAAGGCACATAACCCAACATGTCAAGGCACATGGAGGTTTGAAGTCGAGGTAAGTTATTGCACAGAAAAACAAAAATAAGAAACCCAATTAAATTAACTTCAAGTCAGCTAGTTAAGTCCAGTTCTTCAGAATTCCTTATGTGAAGCTAGTCCGTGAAGAAATGATCACACCATGTTCACATCCTCCAACTTCTGTTGTGGTTGTCCCTTTGAACAGTTCAACACTGCAGTATCACTTTTCTTTCAAAAGTCTGATTAGTTATCCAGGCAAGACTTGGTTCAAGGCTTCAGTGTCATTCAGAAACCGAAGAAATGATGGACTGATCATGAAACATCAACCTAAAATAGAACCACATACAATAAAGGAATATAATTTTGTACAAGGTAAATAAATTCACTGAGTTAATCCTAAGCATGAGCTGAATGACATCCTAAGTCAGTTCTGAGTCCAAGTCAAATTTAAGTGTGTGTTAATCCCAGTAACTAAGTTCCAAGGCCAAGTCAAATTCAAGCGCAAGTTAAGGAAAACTCCAAGAAGATTTTCATCACTGACAGGCACTGAACCATAGACACTGGATATTCCAATTGATGTACTCTTTAAAGACATAGATTCTTAAGTGCCCCCATTAATAAGCACTTGATTGGTCTTTCTTGCAAGTAATTTCACTACTTTTTGTTGCTTCCTGTTACCCCTGATTTGATGGAAAGGGAGGTTCCACAGTTACTAGCATGAGCTGCTTCACTCAATTTTCCTTTTGTTACATTAATTTTTGTAACTAACTCTCCTTCAAGTGTTAGAAAGTGTTAGAATTGTCCATAATGGGTATCTCTGCATGTGTTTCATGGAGTGAAAACTTATCTCTCTAACAAGGTATCTGGCTACAAATTTTTTGTTAATTCAACTCATAGCTCTGGAGTGACCTAGTCTTAGGATTGACCTCATCAGCTGATACAACCTTTTCTAGAGCAATGTGTAATTTTCACCATTTTTACCCCCAAAAATTGCTCTATGCAAATGTTTTCCACCTACATCACTTATCCTCTTAGAGAGGTAAATAAGTCTTACTTTCATGTCTCCTCAAGGATATCCATGTTTTAAACAGATTGAAGCCAGGGGTATGAACATCTTTCCCACTTATTTAAGCCTATGACTGAAATTTGCAAAAACTACCACCAATTCCTTTATTTTCATCAATACACCATGGCATGCTCTATAGATGCAACAACCTTCAGTTTCATGAAAAAATGAGTTCAACTTTTTCTGTTCCTTCAAGTAATCATAGCATAAAAGCTCACCCCTTCTCAACAAATTTTCAACTATCAAATTTTTTGGAAACATTCAAAAGGCAGAGGGTCACAACCACACAAACACCAAAAACAAAACCAAACCAGTTCCAAACTTATTGATTTATTACATAATTTCAGAATGGAGGCAAAACATAAAATCTGTTGTTCATGACTATTCAACAAGTATACTAAGTTTTAGAGCCATACTGTAATCATAGTAATGACTAGGCAACAAAGAAGAGGTGAACTTAATTTTATCTTTGTTTGTCATATAAAATGTTTAACTTAAGCTTTCCGGGATACTTTTAAGAAAAAGTGCTAGACAAAACTACCTTTGGTTGAGAGTGTTAAGGACAGGTGTAAAAGCAGTACATATGGGTTACTATTTATAACAGGCAGGTTGGATACACACCCAGAATTTTTCTCCATCCCCAAAAACAGTCTGATAAGTACAATAATGAGTCAAAACCTTGTAGTCGGTTTGGTGCAAAGCAACCCCAGTTTAAAATTACACTTTTCAGATTACACAACACTTGAGAGAATAATTACCCAGAATGGAGAAATTCAGAGTACATTTGTTGGTTGTGATCTTGTCTACTGAATACAACCACCCTCCTATAAAAACAACAGAAGGCCAATTTATGTCCAGCAATCTAATTAAGTTTTTTTTTGCACTCCAAGATATCAGCCAGCTTATCCAAAAATTTAACCTTTTAAATCACCTTTTTATTCACCAAATACTGGGAATCTTCAGACAAACAAAACTATTATCACTGGAAATAATCAAGTACTAGTACCTCACATGCCTTTCTACAGAATGAGGTGTTCTTGACAGTACAAATATTCTCATAGAGAAAATCATTTGAAACCTACTTCACACAATTATTGATGCTGAATCAATGTGGGATGATTATTTTCTAAGAATGACCAACAAATCTACAATAGGTCTATCTCTTTTTCAATGACCGCAAGTAAACAACCATTATGTTGAAAGCTCTGGATGACCTTAATTAATAACAAGTTAAACACTGATGGTAAGTCTTAAGAATAAATAATCCCTGCCTGTGGCTTTAAATTCCACTTGGACATTTTCTTCCATATATGAGACTCTTTGATAGATTGAAATATATTAAGTTTTCCATCTTATAAAAAAGTGAAAAGAGACACTTTTTATCAACCTGTTAGTGGTGAAAACCAAGGGGGATAACCTCCTTTCCTGAAATGCTTCAAAGTATTTTTTAAAATAAATACATTTATGTAAAAATATGAATAGAAAAGGGCCTGAGAAAACAATATTCATCTGACAAGCATCAATCTCCATTTCCTTACAAAAGTTATATTTAATTTAGGAACACCAGCTAACACTACAATCTACAAGTCTCTATAATTTTCTTAAGAATTCATATCCATTTTCCACAACTCACACTAGATGTAGTTAAATATGCACCATTAGTAATGTCTGTTTTTCTTTCCTGGCAAGAAAAACAAATGAAAATATTTTCCAGTTGCATCTCTGGCCTCATGTAGTGTCTTGTTGCCATCTGTATTACAAAAAGTCTACAACACATAAACAAAAACAGATGTTAGCATGGTGATTGGTTTTAAACAATGCAAAACACTAGAGCCTCATTACAGTCCAATTTTAACAAAATTAGTCATTCACACTGTGGGAGACAAAAAAGGAATCCAACTTTATTCAACCAAACTAATCAATGCTTTGGACCAAAGCAACCAAAAATTATGCATAATTTATATGGAAACCACTATTTTTCTGTAGTTAGATAGGTCAATTTTGTGTAAAAGAACCTGGTAATTTATCCAAAGTTATAAATTACAAAAACTTGCCCCAAACAACAAATTAACTCAAAAAAGGAGCAAGAATAACAGAGGAGAAAAAATTAAAAAGTGCTTACTATACCATGTTAAAATCGCCGTGGAACTTTTTGTGTTGTTGATGGATCATCATCTGGAGGTCTTTTAGCAGCTTTCACCTTGGTGTCCTTTATGACAGATTGTAATAGTGAAGACTTTAAGCGGATATAGAGCTCTATATGTTTCATTCCTTTTATATGTAAGTTTTTAGCTGTCAGTGTATTAAAGTGACACTGGCAAAGTTTACAGTAGAAATTTGCTGTCCCACTTCCATGGACTCGTATCACATATTCTGTACCAACTGCATCTTTAGGTTGTGAAGACAAAATGGCCTCTTCCATTTCACGATAGCGTTGTGCCTCAGACTGAGCACTTGCTGTAGCTATTTGGTCTGGACTCTCCTCTTGTTTATCAACTGATTGGGCAGATTGGACAGATGAAGAAGATGCACTACTTTTCTGAAGTACACCTGTTGTGTGTGCTGACTGTCTTTTCATTTGAGAAAGGCGTTCACTGACTAATTTTGTCCCTTTTCCATCGTTTGCAAGTTGCTTGCTCTTTTTGAGGATAGACTTAAGTGGTTTGCTTTGTTGAACATCCTTCACAGCTGGAGTAGTAGCCATGTCTTCTTTTAATGTTGGAGGCTCTTCATGATGTGCAGATGTTACTAGCTTCCCTTGTTGCTGAGATTCCGAGCCATCTTCAACATGGTAGCCTTCCTCATGGACAGGACCTTCCTCCATATACTGTTGCTCTGTTGCCAACTGGTGATCATATCCTTCACTTGTACTACAGCCCTCTTCAGGCAAAACCTCAGCCCCCTCAACAATATACCCTTGTGCACCAGCATCATATTCTTGAGAGTACTCGGTGCCCCATTCACACTCAGTTCCATGATAACCTTCCTGGTACTCCTCTTGCCAATGTCCCTCTATTTCACCCTGATTCCAAGCTTCCTCGTCATGGTAAACTGCCCCTTCCTCATAATGCTGCCACACACCACTTTCTTCAGCATACTGGTAGTCACCTTCAGTGTAGGTACCACCCTGCTCTGGATCAAAACCATGCCCATCTGTTCCACCCTCTGCATACTCTCCCTGGTATTCCTGGTACTCCTGGTACTCCTC